TGCAGGAGCCCTTCCCAGGGCTGTTCTTACTCATCCAGCTGGGAAATTTTATAAAATCACTGTGTATGTCATATTAAAATTAACAAGATTTAGATTCATAAGACTTGTTAGAATAATTGGATTCCAGGCTCAGTTCTGTTGCTGATTTACTGTGTGGCATGGGTGATTTATTTCACTTTCTCTATTTGCAATCTTTAAGGAGAACTGATAAAAATACATAAATATTTTTTCTGTACTATTTCTGAGTTAGGCATTCTTTCTTTTCATATGTTATACATTTTAGTATTTATAAAAAGTTTTTAAAACTAAGTCTTCATATTCGCATTTAATTGATGGGGAAGCTGAGACTCAAATACGTTAAGTGACACACCAAAAACCCTTCCTCAGATTCTTCCCATACATTTGCAACAAATAAAGGCCAGGCATTGGAATGTTACTTTCTCTACAATGTTTCTCTGAGACACCTGGGCTTGCTAGCTGCCACTAGCCCTGCAGCAACTGTGCAGAGCATGGTGCAATCCATCCATGGCATACTCCAACCTCAGTGTCTGTCCCCAGCTCTCCCCTTCCACCTAAACATACCCTGGACCTCTCACTTCACCGTCATTGAAGGCCATGTCACACCTTGCAGGCAGTTCTTAGACCAGAGTGCTGGGTTGTAACATGGTCTTCCTGGGTAAGAAAGCACTTTTGTAATGTAATCTCTCTCACCTTGAATAGCTTGTAACCATCCAAAAGCAAAGATCTAATTCTTTTTCCTGCAAGTGGAAGGACATATCTTTAAAAAAAAAAGAAAAAAAGAAAAAGAAAAAGCAGGGGTGGGTCAGTGGGGCAGGACATAACCCAGCGGTAGAGTGTGTGCTCGGCGTGCATGAGGTCCTGGGTTCAATCCTCTGAATTAAGGGAAAATAGTAAAATAAAATAAAATAGAATACTCTTTAAAAAAAGAAAAATACGTAAGACAAAGTATTCAAGAATTCCATTCATTTTCCTTCCTTCTTGTCTTACTCTCTACATTGCTTTAAAAACATAGATAAGAAATGTAAAAATGGAACATTAATAATATAAAATAAATATTGATTATTACTATATGTTTCTTACAAACAGAAAATAGGAAATTCAAGAGGTTGAGAAACTGGCTTAAATTCACATAGCAGTGGTGAGGCCAGGACTCAAGTCTACCACACATTTCATTTATCTGAGTCTTTAAGTGGCTTCAAAGGCTTCCATGCCTCTAGAAGAGATGGGCTTAAGGAAATCC